TCTGCCTCTGCTTGGTTATTGGAGTTTCTTGCCTAGCAGAGGCCATTCCCTGCTGGCTGTTGCTGAGGGCAGTGATCCAGTTCCCTACTGTAAGAAGTCTCCTGTTGGCATATCCCCTTCCAGGTCCCTGACCTTGGTACTAACTGAACTGGAGCTCCTTGCAGTTGTGGCATTAAGCCAGCGCTGAGTGAAAGAGCTCTACCTCCCAAGTGAGAAGACTTGTTAGGGATCATTGCCAAGAATTAATCTGTCTGTTAGGAGCACTGACCACTGCACAGCCCAGACAAGTTGCTCTAGGGAAGCCTGTGGAGTTCAAGAAAGCTCATTTCTGACTTCGCCCTGGAGACATAAAAAAACAATTTTTGCACCCTGGGAAGTGGCAGTGGCCAGGCCAGCAGCAACACTGGCTGTCAGTCTCGCACCTCTTTAAATCAGAGCCCTTACTGCCAAACCTAGTTACACTACTAGCCTAACCCCCACCCCTGTCCTGCCCCTACGCTGCAGAAATGAAAAGTGAATACACTAGAGTGAGGGAGGTCTTGAGGGCTGGATCCAGGAATCCCTTGCCAGGCCTAAAAGTATGTGAAGCAGTCTTACTTTGCCAGAAAGTCAAGAACAGCTGTAATATGCAAGTCCAAACATCATGTTGAGATGCCTCTTTCCTGTGTCAGCTCTGCAGCTCCTCCACCAGTGTGGATGTGGCCTGAGCAACCCTACCCCAGTTTGGAGGTCTTTAGGTTCTTCAACCCAGTTCTAAAATTGACCCCACCAAACTCAATTCATCCTATAGTCTGGGGCCTAGAGAGGGCCCCACTCACTTCTTATTAGGCACTTTTCAATGGCAGGCTCTGACTGGGCTGTGTTTTTATCCTCCTCTTAGGTTTGAATGCAGGTTGCTTCTATGCCCTGTCCACGCTGCTGAACAGCATGGTGCTTTAGCACTATCCAGTTTTTGTGCCCGGTCCACGCTGCTGAGCCGCATGGTGCTTTCGCACTATCCAGTAAGTGCCTCCCAACCCCAACTCTGTTCTCCCTCCTCGGTGCTGTCAATAGAAAGCTTGTTGTATAGAACAGGACTATCCAACTTCTACATGGTCATGGGCCACGCTAGTACAAGACACACCAGTGGAGGCCATGGATCCTAGGGCCACATCCCTCGTTACCACTCCACCATGTGCCCAAGTGCTCCCCACCCCCCCACTGCAGTGTGTGCCCTGACTGACTTCACTTACTAGGTCTCCCACTGTACTATGCAGGCTCCCCCTCTACTGAAAGCTACAGTCAAAGACATTGCCCTGCCTTGTGGGACAAATGCAGGGACAGAGGCAAAGCCTGGAGCCCCCAGTTGCTGCTATATTTAGAGCAATGCAGGGAGTGGCAGATAGGTGGGAGCCTGGAGCCCACAATTTAACCCCTTGTGTGCCACATGTAGGCCTCCCATTGAACAGCCTTAGTATAGAACAAGTTGCTACATGACCTCCTACTGGGAGAACTTGACACTTGGGCACTGCAGGCTTGTTCTGTAGCCAGTACTCCTACCCCTGTTCTCTACAGTTCTTTCAGCTGGAAGGGACTTGGATTGGTGAAGTCCAGCAGTGTACCCCATAAGGTACGTTAAAGAATTGATGACACTTTATTCTGGGAAATTCCCTAGTCACTTTTCATGCCCTGTCACTTACTTACAGCACTTACTACTGGCAGTCCAGCAACTGGAAGTCCCTTGTACTCAGTGCTTCTGCACTGCTCGCTACTATGTCTCCTGTTGCACAAGGCAGAGAGCGCTCCAAAGCCAGGGCTCCTACAATATGCCCTAACCCACCTGCTCCTCTGAGAGGGTGGGGCTGGGATGCCTGGGAGGTCCCTCTTGCTGGGGTAGCTCTCCAAACCTTAGTAGTTAGGCCAGCAGTCCTGGTAAGCACTGGACTGTCTCTTGAACAAGCTACCTTAAAAGCCAGTACTAAGAGTGACCTTGATCGGCAGCACAGATGTAAACCTTTGCAACTTCCTCCTCCTGGCTGACTCTGTCAGGGGTACTATCCTGTTCTCCTTGCAAGCTGAACTAGATAGGGCTTTAAGAGCAGGAGATGGAAAAATTCAGCTTCAGTATCCTTTCATCTCCAAGCCCTTTTAACCCAACTTGCTATTGTATTTGTGTGTGTCTGAACATAGGGGGAGGTGGTGAATGCTGGCAGAATAGGACTCACCATCATACTATCTGGCATGGTTGGAGCTTTAATCTCTGGCATCTGGTTGGATAAAACCAAAACCTACAAGTAAGTTCTTTGCACTGCTTTCACCCTCAGCAACCCTACCCAGCCCTCCATGTGGAGAGTGATGCCCCAGGGGATAACTCTGCCTTCCAAGGGTTGAGTCATTGGGAACATGTGTGGGAGGTGGACTGTGTTTCTACAAGTGCATTCACCTTGGAGCAGCTCCTGCTGGGAGTGACCTGGTAGGAGAGACCACTATTTCCTGCTGCTCTGGCCTGGGTTTTGGAACTATTGGATCAGGATTCTTTTTTGTCTTTTGCCTTATTCCTG